AAAAAAAAAAAAAAAATTTAAACTTCATGCGTTTAATAAAAACATTGATGTACATATTTACATAATAATAATAAATAATAACTTAGTAGTAAAAAATCTACATGAGGCTTATTGTTAAAAAAAAAAAATATGTAATTAGCAGATCAAAAAATTATACACAATAAAAGAAAAAGGAAATTAGAAAAAATCTTAATAATTACCAAAAAATAACTTTAAAATGAAAGTAAAAAAAAACACAAATTTTTTTTTTTTTTGATTCCAAAATACAAATTTATATAAATCGCCGTAAGTAGTGTCCTTTTTTTAAATAATAATAATAATTATATAAATACATTCATTGAATATCTTTTTTTTTTTTTTTCTTTTTCCTTTAATTACATAAACAAGGTTAAACTGAAAATTTTGGTATTCCCTATTGTACCTTATCTTTCCTGATTTTGAATGCGTTCCCCCTTCTGATCATCCGCAGTAAAGGATTTTAACAATAGATATGCATGTAAATGAATAACAGCATTATTGTTAAATTTCATTCTAAAGTGTTTAATTGGAAAGTTGGAAATCGATATTTGAAACAAAACATCCATTTGAAACAAACTATTTAATTTCATTCTGATGTGTTTAATTGGAAAGTTGTGAAATTTGACATTTGAAGAAATCCGCAAACTAATGTGATAATTTCGATTTTATTATTATGTAATGCATCAAACATTTATGTGAATTCATGAGTACAACATATTTCTGTGAGATTATTTTTTTTTTGTCATCTAGAAATTTTTTACACGCTCTATACAATAAGGGTATTATTATTCCTGCCATTCTTGCCATTGGGGATTCGGGATCAAATATGCATGTAGTAATATGCAATGATGAATTTGGATACATTTTTAGTCTTAAATGTAAAGTTTTTGGATGTCCAGAACTTGCACAAACCTTGCACAAAACCTGTACAAAACCTGTACAAACGTGTCCAAACCTATCTAAACTGTCCAATTGTTCCAAAACTGGTTTCATCTAACAATATTGAAAAGAGAATGAAAGACACGTCATTTGAAGACGAGAACTGTTAAAATCGGCTAGCAAATTAAAGGTAAATTAAACTATTTATGTTGATGACTCATCTATCATATTTATTGTCTTTACCATATTTATCATCTATCGTCTTTGCCATATTTCTCATCTTTATCATCTTTACTATCTTAATCGTCTTTACCTTCTTTACCATTTTTATTATCTTTACCATCTTTACCATTTTTATTGTTATTACCATCATTACTATTTTTATTATCTTTACCGTCTTTATTATCTTTACCATCTTTATCATCTTTATTGTCTTTACCATCTTTACCATCTTTACCATTTTTATTATCTTTACCATCATTACCATCTTTATCGTCTTGAAGTACCAAAATAGTACCCACCTGACTTCTATTACATGAAATTTACCTATATAGCAAGCAATCTCCGAGTATGATTTTACATTTTTACGTGAATACAATATATTCAATATTACACAATTACACACATCTGTTTGTTTATATTACGCGTTTACTTTGCTTCATAATGATATGCAAGATGATTGATATGGGCGTATTACTTCGTATACTTGTAAAAAAAACCTAAAAAAACTTCAAGTACTACCTTTGTACTTTTTTGTGTGGTCTAGAACAGCCTGAGAATTTTCTAATTATTCCAAATCACATGACCTTTTAAATTTAGCACAATTAAATAAAAAATCGATTGTCGGTCGTACCTTTTGCTAGTTTCACCCGAAAATGGTGTTAACCGAAACGCCAGAATAAATATGGCGACGCGTTTCATGTATTTCATGTACAAAAAAAAACAAAACCGTTTTTTTTTTTTTGATTATTTTATGTCATTTATTTACAATAAAATTATACATAAAAAGAAAATTTGAATAAATAATAATAAATAAAATAAATTAATTAAAAAAGGGGAAAAAAAGAAATTTACATTAATAATTTACACTAAAAGTACTCTCTTTCCTTTAACGCCTTCTTTTTTTTTTTAACGCCTCTAAAAAACTAAACTAATCTAAATTAATCTAAAAGACTAAAACTAAATTATCTAATAACATAATTCTTTAACTTGAAAGATTTCACATTCAACAATATCACTTTTAATTAAACCAAAATTTTGTCCACCATTAAATTCAACAATTTTATCATGAAAATTAATAATTAAATGATTACCAAAATTTAATCCATTGGCATTATTTTCAAATCTATTATAATTATTAATAGAAATAGAAGAAATATTATTAACTTTTGTGAAAATTGATTCTTTTTTTGGTTTTTTCATTGATAATGTTGTAGGAGTACTTTTCTTTGAACAATCTTTTGCGATTTTTGTACAATCTTTGTTACAATTATCATCACCAATCATCATTTTAATTACGTCACTTTTTTCAAATGATTTACCATCACCAAATGTAAATATTAAAGTGGATGAATTACTTTCATAATTTGAATTAGGAAAATAATTAAATCCGATCGGATTATACCCTCCTACTAAAATATATCTGTTATTTGAAGATGATGATGGTAATTTGATTTTAGTTAACACTAAAGTGGGTCCTTGATTCATACATCTATCATGATATGCAGATGCACCATCACGAGTCATTCTAAACAAAAGATTAAATTGATAAGCGGCTGGCGTTGTAGATGATTGTGGCTGTAGTTGTTGTTGTTGTTGCTGTTGTTGTTGTTGTTGTTGTTGTTGTTGTTGCTGCTGTTGTTGTTGTTGTTGTTTATGATTAATTTGAGCTTTTGTAGATGATTTAGTTGTTGTAACAGTAAGAATATTGGTGGAAATTGATAATACAGTTGAAATAAAATTATTTGAATTCTCTTGTCTATTTCTTTTTCTAAATATTGGAAAATTGATACGAAGTGAATTATTTCTCTTTGATTTACAAGTTGTGTTATCAATAATTTTAGGTATATAATGTCCTTCTTGTATCCAATAAGTGATTTTTAGTGCATGTACATGATTGATTAATGCAGAATCTTCTAAAATGATGTTTGATGATGATGATGAATGATGATGATTTGTATATGTATTGTTATGATGTGTAATATGATGATGAATATTATAATTACGTTGATGATGTGACAAATAATATAAAACAGTTTCTTTGTTAGAATCCTCTCCAACTTCTTCTGATATAATAGTATCTTTTATCCAATAATTTAAATAAGGTAAAACCTTGTCTAAAAAATAATTTCTACTAATATGACTAAATCTAACATATTCTTCTACCAATTTATACATTGTTTCATGTAACATATTAAATTCATTTTGACGCCATTTTTTAACATCATGAGAAAATTCATTGATTTTTTCTTGACCTAGAGCCCATTTTAAAATACATTGCCAAATAGCCCAATCATCCAATCCATTACAACATTCTTTTAATATATTATTTAAAATTTTTTCTGATAATGAATGTAAATCATTTTGTATGAGTAAACATGTTGGGTCTCTTTTAATTATCGTTAAGGTATGTACCTTAAGTTTTAAGAAAGTTGTCGGATTAGAATAACAACATTGTAATATTGGAACTATTTTTGTTTTTAACCAATCAGAATTAAGATGAATAAAATATGTTTGTATTTCAGATGTAAGTTCTTCTAAAGATAATTCATCTGATGCTATTAATAAATCTAATACGGTCGATATATCCAATCTCTCTAATTTAATATTTCCAAAATGAAGATACCTGGGTAAAAAGGAAAAATAAAAAAAAAAAGAGGTTCGTTATATATACTCGAATGTACACGTGACAATATATTTTTTTTTTTTGAATAATTAATTACCTTAATATTGCGGTAAATACTTTTGGGGACATATTTGGTTTATCAAACAAGTAAACATCACCATGTTTTTTCGCCCAACATTGAGAAAAAGCGGTACGAAAATATGAAGATCTTTTACTTAAAATAATTGAATTACTTCTAAATTTTTTAACATGTGGTTCTTCTCCAACATTAATAATTACGTCAAAATTTGTGTTATTAGAATCATCAATATTAAAATTATCAAAATTAATTAATTTTTCAAAATCCGAATCATCTAAATAAGAATCACCATCATGAAGAGTAGGAGATGGAGATGATGATATAGTTGAATTTAAAGTATTTGTTGTTATAATTGAGAATTCTGATGATGATAAAGTTGATGATGAAGAAATTCTTGATAAATGACGACCTGAACGATCATTACTATCACCAATTATTTTAAAATGTCTATGACTCCAATTATCATTTGGTTGTATTATTTCCATTTCATGTAACGGAGAAGATAATGATGTTTTAGAAGGATTATAATGTATTGGAATGATTGGAGTTAATGGAGTTAATGGAGTCATGGGAGTCATAGGGGTCATGGGAGTCAAGGGAGTCATGGGAGTCATGGGAGTTATTGGAGTTATTGGAGTTATTGGGGTTGTCGGAGTAGTTGGAACGGAAGGATTATTGGTTAGAGCATCGAGGCTCTCATACATCATTTCTGTTATATCCAACATTTTAAAAATAATAATAAATAATAATAATAATAATAACAATAATAAAAAAAAAAAAATTTCTTATTCCAAGAGGAAAATAAAAAACGTAGCAAATAAAAAAAAAAAGCGTACGTTTTAAAAGGACGAAAAAGAAATTCTTTTTAGGAAAATTTTTTTCAAAAATTTCATTGTATTTATATTTCAAAAAAGGTGGCGTTATGAAAGGTTTTTTAATACATACTTTAATGTACAAGTATAGGTGTCACCTTATAACCATAATTGTTCTTTATAGGTTCTATTACCGCAATTGTGGAAGCTTAAGAATTCCCCGATACGTAATCTCATGATCTACCTGCATTTTACATGTCTGGAATTTTACGGACAAAATATGTACTCTTTTGAGTATCGTTATTTCCGTCCGTTCATCATTTATTTATTTATTATTATTATTTTTTTTTTTTCAATGAATTTTTTTTTTCAATGATTTTTTTCTTTAAAAGAGAGATTTCCTTGTAATATGATAGATATATTCGAAATTTACTATTAATAAATACAATTGGATAATGAATATATTGATTATTGAATTCGGGAAAAATCGACGACTATAACTGATTATAATCCGAATCCCCGAAGTCCAAGAAAAATGACGATTTATTTATAGAATATCACCATAGTTGGTGATATTGATCTACGATTTACATGTTATTAATCATTAAAGGGAATTATTTCTAAATTTAAATTTTTTCTTATTGATAATTGAGTAACCGAATGAGCTATTTTTAAGAAAAAAGTTCTATAACAGAGATAAACTTTAAAAAAAAAAAAAAAAAAAAAATTTTTTTTTTTTCTAAAATTTCTGAAACAACTGTAATTACCTATATTCAATTAATGAACCCTTGTAATACTCTAAGCACTAAATATTTATATGAATAAATTATGATATTCCTTCTATATACATGAATATTAACTAAAAATTATAAAAATTTTTCTGAAAAGAAAAAAAGAATACCGAAAGTTCAAATTAATATATCGGGAATATTTACTGAATATATTTTAATGTTTTCCGTTTCAGAACGGACTTTTTTTTTTTGATACTCGAGATTTCCCGGGGATACTCTGTATGTAACCAACATTTTTTTTTCGTAACATGTAAACTCTTGGTACAATGAATATTCATTTTGTGTACAGAAATATTATTATAATAAAGAAATAATTAATTTAAACCAAAAATTTTTCTTAAATATTTATTAAATACATACTTATAAAAAAAATATGAGTCATAATTAAATAGTTAATCTCTTTTTTTTAATTAATATGATTCTTTGTTTATATAACATTCTGGTTTAAGATAATTAAATTTATGCCACATTGTTTATTTTAAAACAGTTTCAAACTTTAAAATATATATATATTATATATATATATATATATAAAAATGCGGTTAAGTGGGTCAAGTGGTTAACTTTATTACACGTTATCATAATTTGTAACCTGTTTTTCCTGTGTTTTTTTAATATATACGGTTAATCCGATCAAAAATACGAAACATTCAACTAAATTATCACGTTATTATTACACGAGGGAAATAAATTATTTTATTATTGGTTATGATGCAATTTATCAAATGGGAAATACGATGTCTTAAGGGGTAATTCATTTATGTATTATGAAATTTATTCTTCTACTTAAAAAAGTAAATTGTTCCATTATTCCACATGGAATTTCAATGCGATTCTCTCCACAATTTAAATGCACACAATTTATCATTATTCCATTATTATAAATGTTTCTTCACCCTCGTGTGATTTTTTTTTTTACATCACAATCGAAATTTTTCCTGAATTGTATACAATAAAATCTTTTATTCCTTTTGATTTTCACGCATAAAAGAACAAAAAAAAAAATATTAAAAATTAAAATGATTATCCAATGTGCCAAGAAAATACAATATTTTTAATTCAAATCCTTTCTTAATTAATAATCTTTTGACTTTCACACATGATGTGTAAAAAAGTCACGTTTCAACCGTTTTAAATAATATGCAATGAATATTGATTTTCTTTGTCTAAAAAAAACGCGGCCTCACATTCTGCCGACCACATGACCTGTGACTCACCACACATTTTGCGTGATCGTGTGATCATCATCGAATACACACTTTTTAGTAAAACAAAGAAAAAAATCTAAAATTCACGAATCCTCATTACCTTCGTATCAATTCGGTTCATATGCACGATTACATAATTCATATTATCCTACAAAAAAAAAAAAGATGTCCGGTAATTACGGCAAGAATGTTCCGAGTACGTCTAAAAAAAAAAAAGTCCGGAAAATGAGACGTCCGAAATATCTAGACATTATTTGGACAATAAGATCAAATTTAGAAAATTCCGGAATTCGGAATTTGGTGTAAATGTGGACAAAGCAGGATATTACATACCCAAATGATTGAAAAAATCATATAATTTATATGATTTGAAAATTATTTACAAAATGCCCTAATTCGTCTATTTGCGTAATCCTAAGGCAATGATGGAACCTAGCTATTCGAAATTCCAATAAAAAGTTATTGTCCTAAGGTAATGATTTATAGTAATTTATTCGAGTGACATATATATATACGTATTCGAATATTCGAATAAGCTTTCATGAGTATGCATTAACTTGTAACGTTACTCGAACATGACTGGTGATTAAAATTCAGCTGTAGTTAATGCGTCAACGTCATGGAATATTGTCACTGACCGCGTGATTGGTGAGATCGCATCTTAGCTTTTTGAGAGGGAATTGATACCTATTCGTCACCCCCTGTAAGTGTATGCTCAGACGTAAATAATCTCGCTCGCATGATACTGAAGAAGAGTAGTCCTGTGATGTTGATCAATCGGACCGAAATGACCGATCTACATTTTATTTAGTTCATGTAAGTAGTATTTTTAATGGAATGCTTTGCATCTAATTTTATTATAACTTTAAACCAAGAGGTTCCTAGCGATGTATACTATATCTATGAATACATTTTGCATAGCTTATTACAAAATCTACTACAACCATTATTTCATTAAAAAATTATTATTATTAGTAATTCTCATTATAAAGCGAATAGCAAATTCGTGCCAAGATCGGACCCAAGTTATTTTAAGCGAATCACTGGACTGCATGGTTTCGATGATCCGGACCCAAACTGGACTTAGAAAGGATCATCTGACCGGACATAACCTTGAAGACATGTATATTTATGGGCCAACCAACGAGGTAAAATTTGATGAGGTAATGTTATAAAACAAATAGAATAATTAGTAAAAGACATAGTAGATGAGCTGTGATATTTTTATTAAATCAATTAAACATAATAGCAATTGATAAATGGCTGACCAGCCTAAACTAATAAATGCCCATAATCCGACTTTAGACATACTGTATACTTATGCCGAAATTACAATCCCGAAATTAATGCGGAAATCCCGAACCTATATCCCAAATATACTGTATGCTGACCAAGATTTCAGAATTCTAATTCATAATCATAAATAAAATTTTTTCATGGGTATTTCTGCTTTGACAAATAAAACTCAATGGTAAACTAGGTTTCGGTTGTAACCGAATCCAGTTAAATGGTTGCGTATAATTCAGCCATATTTCCAGATATGCATATGATCAACGTCCAAAGACTTTTCAATCAAATAATGCTATTTACTAGATGAGCTCATCGTTTTAAAGAGATGGATAAAGACTTGAAAAATTTTCTGAATTATAAAATTAACCGCGGTTTACTCCGGTTAAAAACATTTAATTTTTGCGGCCCAGTTAGCAGACTTTTCTCATAGTTGACTAAAAAATTGTACTAAAAATTGAATTACTTTAAACAAAAAAATTAAAATCCCATCTCAAATTCTGCACCGTAGATAAATCTCAAGCGTAAACAAAGTTAAGGAGTTAGGAAGTACAACATGTCTATTATTTCTGAACGCGTATACGGTATACAGATACAATATAGTCATACCATACAAGAACCTTAAAGTACAACCTTGACTCAGTCACAATGTTTAGTAATAAATCCTACTACCCAAATGAAGGTATGGTGATCGGCTCACGTAATGACAATAACCATAAGGACAAAGAAATATATTAAATTTTTCAACAAGTAAAATAAGTAAAATGCACGAAAATTTTTCATTTATCATGTGGAATGGTTTCAGCATTCTCAAATTAGAAACATTATAAATTATTATTTTTTTTTTTCTATTTCGTCATTCTTTACATATTATTTGTATTCTAAACAAATCCAAAAAAAAAATAAAACTTTTAACAAACAATGTGGGATCAAGACACTTTAGGTATTACAAAATTTATTATGGAATAACAATACTAGACAAAATTATTTTTGTAATTTTTGTAATGATAAATAAACGAAGCTACATTATATTGTGTGTAATCAAAAATAGAAACATTTAAATTATTTTAAATTATTTGCCCCACTTCCTAACTATGAAAGATATTTTTATATATGCAATTTCTTTTCTCTAAAACACTTTTTAATTCTTAAAAATTTCCGTTGTTACAATATTTTAACCACGATAAAATTGAATTTGATAAAGTTTTAATATAATTGAAAGAAGGAATAATTATTTATTTATTTATTATCCAATTATATGAACTTCTCTCATTATATTTAGAAATTTTATTGTTTTCCCTATTCCGCGTTTTAACACTTTAGTCCTCATAAGATTTTTAACTAAACATTAATTTACCAGCTGACATAACGTGGTGGTTTTTACCAGCTATAGCATAAGTAGACTTTGCTAGCTATAGCATTAGTAAACTTCACCAGCTGACATTAGTTTGGTGTGGTCTTTATAGATAGTCTCTTTTATACACGAATTTAAATATGACCGACCAACCACTCTTTTATAGAGGTTATATAATTGGAGGGTATTTTTCTATAAGTTGGGATGAAACCAAAGTAGTAGCAAAAGTAGCAATAAATAGGTGGATATACAGTTATAGAAGATGGATATACAGTTATAGAGGGTGGATATATAGTTATAGAAGACGGATATACAGTTATAGAAGATGGATATATAGTTATAGAAGATGGATATACAGTTATAGAGGGTGGATATATAGTTATAGAGGGTGGATATGTAGTTATAGAGGGTGGATATATAGTTATAGAAGATGGATATATAGTTATAGAAGGTGTATATACAGTTATAGAGGGTGGATATATAGTTATAGAGGGTGGGTGTACAGTTGTAGAAGGCGGACTGATTTATAGAGCATAGGTAATAGGTGTATAGTAATAGATTTATAGAGCATAGAGGGTTGATATATATAGAAATGAATTTATAGAATATAAAATATACTTATAGAGGGCGGATGGGCGGGTATACAGTAATAGATTTATAGAGGATAGAGGGTGTATATGCAGTATTTATTAGATAAAATAAAGTATAGATGATAATTATTACTTATTTGAACGCGTTTTTTTATTTACAGTATATTTTTATACAGAAAAACCATTGTGCATGACCCAAAGAAAAGGAATTAGCTTTCTGATTTTTTTTCTTTTGATATTTACTTTTTTACAGTATATTTTTATTCCAAAGAAAAAGAATTAGCTTTCTAATTTTTTTTTCTTTTTTACATTGCAAATGTTTTTAAATAATAAATTTACGCTATTCTTCTAGTAGGTTCTGTGCCGTGTCGGTCTATGGTTCCAGAGAACGAGAAACTTTGGTGACTACAGCCAGTAATCAGTAATCAATTTCGTTTTATCAATTGACAAAGTATATTTTTTAAGTTAACTTGGAAAATTATTTATGTGTTTACCGATCAAAAGCCCAAATCATAACTTTGTTTCAAGATTTGCACATAAGAGTAAGTTCACGATAAGGTCTCTTCTGAAAATAAAAGCGCAAAGTGAGATTCGATATATCAGATAAGGTTGGTCGTAAGTAATAATTATTATAATTTGAATTACAACCTTAGTGGTTGTAATATTATAAACGTAAGTTGCAAATAGGCTGTAAATACTACATTTACAACCATTATAATTACTTGACTTTTAGTCTTTCCTGATATATCGAGGGTTCGAATTCCATTTTGTATTTAGAGAAAGTGAAAGTGAGAATATGGTAAGGTCTACATAGTCAGTGAAGTGTATCTCACTTAATTCTGAGTAGGATTAGGCTCATATGTTACCTTCTCAGGTAATTCCTCTCATTAATCTCCCTCTCGGGTAATCTCCCTAGTAAACATTATTAATGTTCCATTTTTTTTAAGAACCTTCTAGAATTGATTGAAATGAAGCCTTCCCATGTAATTTCATATTTATTCTTCCATTAACTTTCCAATTTCCCGACATTGTTTAAGTTTAATTGTGTTCAAAATTGGCTGAGAAATTTTATAATTAGATTTTGGATAAACTCTAATAGCTGAAACTTCATCATGAGCATTCTGCTCCAATAAAGTGTTCAATAACTTACCTTCGGCTTTATCACAAAGGGATTTTCTAATCGCACTTTGTTCCACCCTATAAAGTATTACGCATCTAACCCCATTATTTTATGTGGTATTTATATTTGTTAATGTAATTTTCTTTATTAAGATCTCATTCGTTCATTCTTTAGAAAAAAGAAAAAAATTTCAAAAAGAATTTCAGAATTTGTATGGAAATTGTATGGAAATTGTCCAGATAATGTGTCGGGAATCTTTCCCATTTTGGTACATCATTTGGATGTCCCGAATTACTTTCACGTACAAAGCGCACATTATTTCATAAAAATTTTATGCTTTTATGCGCAACCAATGAAGTCACATGCGCTCTTATAAAATAATAGTAAGCGCCATTATGAAATATCGTGCTTGTCTACTATTGATCACATGCGGAAATTTAAAATGATGTAACTGCGCGAATCCACTAGATCTTTCATATTTCGGTACATTTTCTGGACGAATTAAACAATACCTGAACATTCTTTGATACAATTTTCGGGCATCTATTTTTTTGTGGAGATTCTCTCTATTTATCCTGACTCGCAACTCGTCATTATGGGTGAAATTCAGTAATCATGTGCAAGTACAGAGTTAGATTGGTTAATAAATAAACGTCATATAGAAAGATATGTAAGATATGCATAAAATTGTTCATGCTTACAATTAAATTTTATTTTATTTATTTTATTTTCTATTTATCTATTTATTTTATTTTGGTTTATTTTATTTTATTTATTCTGTTTTTTTTTATTTTTTTTTCGTTTTTTTTT